CCACTAACTTTTAGATTTCCTCTCTGAATTTGTTTTTTAGCACTTGACTATGATGTGCCTAAATGTAGTTTTCTTTGTATTTATTCTCCTTAGGGAATGTAGAGGGATTCTTTCTTTGTTTTTCAATCTGAGTTTTAATGTTTTTCATCTCTTTCAGGAAATTTTCAGTCATTAATTATTAAATATTGCTTCTGTTTCATTCTCTCTCCTCTCCTTCTGGGACTCTACACATATGTCATGACTTTATACCATGTCTTATAATTTTTATTATATAGCCTTTGTACATTCTTTCATCTCTATATGCATAATCCTTTCCTCTCTGTGTGTGCTAATTTTGGATACTTTCTACTGATCCTTGTACAGTTCACCATTTCTCTGGTCATTTGTGTCTAACATGCTATTATAGTCAACTGTTGAATTCTTGATTTCAATTATTTTTTTATTTCTAAAATTTTCATTTTAATATTTAATGAGTTTTAATTCTATACTGAAATTTTTCCAGCCTGTTTCTGTTATTTTTGAACACACTAATTACAGTTATTTTAAAGTCAGTCCCTATCTAAGAACTCATTGAACCACTTGTGAGTCTGTTTCTATTATTTGTTATTTCTCTTGAGTTCTTGACAATGATCTTTATTTTTTGCCTCCTTCTAAATTTTTGATTGGATGCAGGACGTTATGAATGAAAAATCATAAAGTTCTGGTTGATGTTATTGTTTTTCAAAGAGGATTTTTTGGGAGTGGGGGACAGATAAAGTACTAGCAGGTTACTTTCATACTATCAAAGGTTAATTTTAAGCTTTCTTAGACCTAGTCTATTTCAGGTTTTTCCTGAACATATTAGCTCTTCCACATACACACACACACACACACAAAAATAGACTATACATATCTTTTGGTGACATGTGTATGCATATCTGTTGGATGTATACTTAAGAGTGGTATTACTGAGTAGTCCTATTTTTTAAATTTCAAAATGATTTTTGTAACATTTTAAAAGTACAAAATGTCTAAAGAAAAAGTTACTGGTTTTTTTCCTTAGAAAAAATTTCATGACCTCCCCATTTCATGACATAGCCAAATATGTCTTTATTTTTCCTGTTAGAGAAACAGAAACTTACAAAAGCAGGATCATAAATTTTTCACTGAAAATATGTATTGAGATCATTCCTCAAAGTTTGACTTGAGCTCATCTTTTTTAAGAATGATGTAACATTTTGTAGTATGGATTTTTAATAACTTATTCATTCCTATGTTGCTGAGTATTTGCAGAACTTCATATCTCAAAAGTTATTTCAGTGCTTTCAGGATTTCATGACAGCTTCTATTACTCAGGGCAGAAACTGGAAAGTAAAACAGAAACACGAGGGCAAGTAAGTAGAAATAAGAGAGGATACAGGATTTATAATTGAGCTAGTAATGGAGTTTGAAACAAAGGAAGGATAGAACCAACTGAAATTTGGGGAGACATAGAAAGAAAACTAAAGGCTTAAGGGAGAATATTAAAAGAGCATGAAGATGAAACTTACAGTACAGAAATTTGAAATTTGGTCAGTTGTCTACCTCACGCCCATTTGTTTCATTGAGAAGTGATCCTTAGTTTGCCTTCCTTACCCCACATTTATCTGTCTTGTCCATCCAGCCATCAATTAGACATCATGGAGCACCTATTTACAACCACATGAAGTGGAGAATCTAGAGAAGAATAAAACAATTCTTGGCTTAAGCTTCCTCTAGTTTGGGAAGTTGTAATGAAACCCTAAAGTAATCCAAGATGTGGTACTCTATCCACTTTACCTTGAATCTACATTCCTGTGGAAGGTCCAGCCTGGATACTGTTTTGTGCTAGTGGAGAAAGCTTTAAAGTGGTCTCTTCCTGAGGACAGTTTGGTCTGGGTACACCTTCTCCTTAAGTACACCAGCCAGGGTGGTGAGGAGTGAGGAAACAGGACAATATACAGAGGTCACATGGATCTTGCAAGCCTTTTGGGCCAGCCATAAAAAAAGGGCAAGTGGTTTTCCCCCAGGTTCTAATGTTGAGGTCACCAAGCTAGATGAGCAGACACTGATTCAAGACAGGACCCAGTCAGGCATAAAGCCAAGTCCTGGCTCAAAAGTCAAATGTTAGAACCCACTATTTCTTGATTAAAGTAAGTCAGAACTAGGAACAAAACTCAAGAAACCCATCCAGAGAGACAGATCATATTTATAGAGGGGTCACTACCAGCTATTTGAGCAAAGATATTTTATCTATTTTTAATTGATTAAATTTATCTATTTTTATCACATAATAATACATATTACTCTTGAAACGTTAATGAGGTGTATAAAGAAAAAATACAAGTAAACTTCTCTTTCCTGTCTTAACTAACCGATTCTTACAGTTTGATGTATGTCTTCTATATAATTTTTGTTTATATAAGCATATAAACATATTTTTTATACCTAGAGAAATACAGTCTCCATTAAATGTTTATGTGCGTATGTGTATATATATATATATATATATATATATATAGCCAAACTCCTGGCAAATATATATAGATTTAAGACATCCTTGGAAATAGCTGTATTATTTTATATTAAGACATCATTATTTATCAACGAACTAGCTTGCTGGTAAATAGTTTCACGGATTTTTTTTTTTTTGACAAATTGCCCTGCCCCTCTGCCCGGGCAGGTGCCGGGGTCTCCATCCCGGATTTGGGGTGGCATCTTCGCGCAGAAACTGACACAAAAGCTGGGCCTCTGCAGTTTGGGGGAGCCAGGCCAGGCTCCGCCCCCACTGCCGCGTCCGCCAGTCAGCTCCTGGGACGGCCCCCTTCTCAGTACCACTTCCCCCCAAAGCTGCCCACCTCCATCCGCAGCCTCCACCACCACCTCCACCAATTTTCAAATCCCAGGCTCTGTGCCCCCTTCTCCCTGTCACATCTCTACAAAGGACTCCCTTCCCTCTCTGAAGTAGCGGGTGTGGAAATTGCTGGAAAACGGGTGAGTCTTGTCCAAAGATGGTTTCTGGAAGCAGAGCGGGCCGGCGCACCGACCAAGCCCCCTCCTGCCCGGCTGGGAGAGGGAGGGACGCAGCCCGGTTTGCGGGAGCGCAGGGAAGGGGGCCCTGCGGGCCTGCGAAGGTGATCGGGATTTTGGCCTGAGACCGTTTGGGCCTAAGGAGGCAGATGTCTTTCAGAGAAGATTCCCTGTGTTTTCTTCATGTCTGTTTCTCGCTCACCTTTTTTTCCTACCCCTCTGGCTCTTATTTCTTTAGTGCTGTATTTCTTCTCCTCCAGGAAGGCATCAAAAGTCTAATATATCCCTGCCCTTTCTAAACATTCTTCATAATAAAATCTTTCAAAGCTACAGATAAGTAGAGAAAATAATGTAACAGATTTATCAGATGCTGACATTTTTTCACCTCTCCTTCAGCTCCCTCTTAACGTCACTCCCTCTTTCTCCCTCCGTGCCTCTCTTCCTTTCTAAAGACACAAAATCCGACATTTAAAACCTTTTTACCCCACCAAGTCTCATGCTACCATCCTCAGAGGTAAGTTAGGTTGTATCCCCCCCTTGTATATTTTGGTCTTTTTATTACATATTTTTACGTAAGAAATACATGCGTTTTCACTGTGAATTTTAAATTTTTTCGTGAAACTCAACATTTGGGGGTTTTTACCTTGGCATTACTAGTTTTGGCATTTCAGACCCAAAAGGAACTTAGCAAACAAGTCACTAGCCCTCCTTGTTTAGCTAAGAATCCTGAGCCCTGGAGAAGATAAAGGGCGTCCATCACTCCTTGACTGGGCAGAATCCTGAATTCAGGTTCTCTTGATTTCTGTTCCTGGCGTTTCCTCTACATAGACCCTGCCGGTGAGCTCACCTACTCACATGCTCCTATTGAATGTTGTTCATATGATTCAATTTGGGGAAACAGGATTGAAGGGAAATGGGGAAAAGAAATATGACTTGGATTTGGACCAAAATCCTAGTCAAGATGAAAAGGTATGCATTTTCCTGAAACATATTATTAAATCTTGGACGACCTTAATATTTATTTTATTTTAACAAGCACGTGTACAGCCTTACTGTATGTGAGACACTGATCTAAGAATTTTGCAAGTATTCACTCATCAAACTTAAACCTTACAAAATAAATCTGTATCATAGGTACTAATCTTAGCATCCCCATTTTACATACAGGTCCTGAAACTGAGGCACAGAAAAATTAAGCAACTTGCACAAAGTCAACTCAGCATGTAAAGTGTAGCACTAAGATCTGAATCTAGGACATCTGATGACAGTCTAAGTTCTTAACCACTATGCTACGTTATATTATCATAGCCCCTGAGGAGGTAAAGCATCACACAGAGTAGGAACTTGCAATTCATAGAAGGGAGGAGCAGCTGGCAACAGGTTATCAGAAAGGACTTAAGGAAAGAAAGAGAATTTGAAATGTATACAGAAGAATAAATTTCAGCCGCCTATTGTTTGTTTGAAATATGATATATTCCTATTTTTAACTTAAAAAAGCAAAGTAATAACACTGCAAATGACACAGAGCTATAAAAAAGTTGCCCTCCGCTATTCCTCAGATGAAACAATTCTAGGAGGTAGAGCTGTATCTTTCCCTTCACCCACCATAATACAAATATATGCAAGGCTGCTTTTTATTATAGAAATGAAAGTATATTCAACAATTTCTACAATTTTTATTTTCCCCTAGGCAGTATGTCAAGTACATTCCCTCAACGAAATGGAAATCCAAGCTCCTCTTAAGAATTAAATCATACTCTGTAGACTGTGTCCTACGGTCTGTTCAGCCTTTTCCTTACTAATGAATAGGCTGAGAAGTTTATCTTTAATAAGTCGGCTGCCCCACTGCCGAGATGGGGGCGCCGCAATGCTGAGCCGGCAGGGCTGGCGACACAAAGAAGCCCTGTCCCCTGCCAAGCGCCGCCCCCTCGGGCTCGCGATCCCGGGAGGAAGTGGGGAGGAGACTGGTGGGGAACCCCTCCCCTCCTCCCGCTCGGTCTCCTCCCAGCTCGCTCGCCCAGCCCTGCTTGCAGGGACGCCCCTTACCCGCCCCACCGAGCGTCCCCCCTCTGCACCCAGGCCTGCTTCCTCCAGCTGCCCCCGTGGAAGTTGCAGGGCGACCTGGTGAGTGGTCCTCTTCCGAATGCCCCGCAGGCTGGACTAGGGGCGGGTGGTCGTGGACTGAGCCCGGGTAGCCGGAGGGCGGTGCCGGAGGCCGAGGGGGCGCGAGGGGCGCGCGGCGAGTCTGAGGGTACCCAAATTGGCTACAGAATCCCTTGCTGTTGTGTCCGCCTTTCTGCGGCGATTGTTCTCCCTCCTCCCACTCTGCATCTTTCCTGCCGCATTGCTCCTCCTCTCTGGGTTCTGATATCTTACGTTTGTCTGCTTGCTTTGTGTCGCGCAGTTACGCACAGGCCTGGCCTGGCGACACAACGTCTGATCCACAGCTTTATCGGATGAGACTACCGTAGCCAACGAGGTGGCAGGGCTTGCTCAGGGTCACCCAGGTAGCTGGTGACAGAGCATCACTTCTGTCCTACTGCCCTTTGATCTTTGCAAACACCGTCTCTGGGACTGAGATCCCTCGGCCGCTCACATTGCCCCCCGGACGCTGGGGGATGTGTGTGTTTGTGCGTGTGCGTGTCTAAGAGGGGACAGAGGTCTTTGCACCCCCATCCCACCCAGACCTCCGTGCCAGCGGGCCTGGAGAACACCCTACCAACGCGAGCTTTTCCACTTGTCTGTTTCCCCTTCGCTCACCCCTCCCCCTGCTGCCTCCCCTCCGCCTCCCCCTACCTCAGCCCCCTCTCCACTCCTCCTCTGACGTCACCGACATGCTCTTTGCAGACTGGCTCCGGGCCTGGGAAGGAAAGTCTGGCCTGGTGAGGCCCTAGAGAAAGGAGGAGAAAGTGGGATCCCACACCAGAACTTAGTGCTGACAGCCCCGAGCTCGGAGTTAGGGACATCTGTCTCTCACGTTGTCCATTTGATAGGACACCCTCTTAAGCAGGCTTGTCAGCAGCTAGTAAGAGGCAGCACCTGGATTTTTTTTTTTTTCCTCAAAGCCCAGGTCTCACTGCTGGGCTCATGTTCCTCCATTATGCTGTTTTCCTGGAATTAAACTAGTGAAAGAAGTGAGGTAACAGGAGTGAGAGAAAGACAGAGAGCCCCAGGGGAACTTAGGAATTAAGAACAGGGTGCATTAAGATTGAAATAGGGAAAGAGAAAAAGCAAACGTTTTGAATCCTGCCTACTTTTATGGGGATGGAGAGAGGAACTGATTCTGGAGGGCAACAAGAGGGTCCTCAAAGATATCCTTAGTGGTCTGGTTTTTTATGCTGGATGGTTGGTATATGGGAGTTTTAGTTTTTTAAATGTTTTAATATTTTTTACCATTTATATTCTTACATGTGCATTACATATTTCTTTAAATGCATGCATTAAACCCTTTCTAAATGAAAATCAAATAAATAAGATTGACCTAGTTGTATCTAAGCATGCAAAAAGAGCTGAACCCACCCCAATTCTGGCTACTGTTTGCAGAAGATGGTGGACAATGGAAAAGATATTGGATATATAAGGGAAAAGAAACAAGGGGTTCATGGAAAAAAAACAGCATGAAGAAGAGAAGACCCATAGAATTGCATGTCTGTGATATGCATCCTTTTCAAGGCCAGGGCAGCTGTTTGCTGAAGAAGTGATCGCAGTTTGCCCTTACACCCACATCCATCATTCACTCATCCATCTATGGAGTACCTACTCATTCTCCTGGGGAATCCAAGGAATAAAACGTGTCCCCTGACCTCAGACACTTACCCTACTTTGGGGGTTTGAAATCAAACTATAATGCAGGCCTGCTACCCTCCTTCCCTCCCAAATACATCTCTTAGAAAGGGAAACCCTGTCTAGGTACCACAGGGCTCTTTGTGGTAGGGGATTTGGGAAGCCCTCTCCCTGAGTTACAGGGTGTGCGTCAGGTGCTTCCTGCTTTAGAAGTGCCTTGGGTTCCAGCAAGCTAGTGGGCCTGGGGGAGAGAAGGCAGGAGCATGGAAGGAGAATCAAGGTTGAAGAACTTCAGGAGAGAAATGAGATTCCCTCACGCTGTGTCCATCTGAGCTCACCGAGGGGGGAGGGCAGAAAGTGACAGAGGCGCAGAGAGGAAACATTTGCTTCAAAAATCAAGTGTCACCGATAGCTGGTTAAAGTGGGAACAGAACCCACTGCAGAGGTCAGGGAAGTCCCGCAGAGGAGGAAATCAGATTTATTGGTGGCCAAATGCACAGACTTTTGGGAGATGAAGGAAGACATTTTAGGATGACTGAGGTGGGGTCAGCTGATGAATCTAATCATTTATATACTCAACCATTTCATGTGTGTTTGCTTGCTTGAATTTGTATTTCCTGTGCTATTTTTAATCGT